CATTAGGCTCGGGTCTCCCGCGCCCCAGGCCCGCGCGTAACCACAGCTGTTTGCGCGACCATTTTGAATAGTTCTTACTTGGTGAGCCGAAGGACTCGTGGTAGCACATCGTGCGTTTTGACGTCGTTGTCATCACATCGCAAGGGAGGTGGTGGTGGTACTCAACATGTTGTCTCTCTGCAATCCTCGCTCCACTGCCGAAGTGAGTGCCGTGCGCCTTCAGTGTGTAGCACGTTCCAACGTCAAAATCAAGATCACCCCACCCCCCGCCCCCCAGGACGGGCTATCCAACCAGGGGATGCCAAGGATACGAAGCTGGGTGGACTGGACGGATGGGGGAGGGGTGAACCGGGAGGGGGTGGTGTGTAGTGTGGTGCAGTACCGCCCCCCTAGGCTTCCAAATTCGGCGGTTGTGCCTGCGCGCTGTTAACACAGGGGCGCCGACATTTGCGACCCAATGCCGTGCTGGACCCCTACCCCCCGTTCGACCCATAGGCTCTTGAACTTTCAGGTGTACTGTTTTCGTTGACGCTCGGTTTCATGATTGACAGTTGGGGTGTGTCACGCTTGCGATTGCGTTGTTCCAGCTCCCTTTCTTTATCATGTTGCTTTCCCTCATAGGCGTCCGCAAACTCAGGAATTCCTGAGGCCCACTCAGGAGGGACTGAACAGTTCACGTACAACGAGTACCCGGAAACTGGAAATACAGATGGCTGGATTCACCTCAGAAACATCCAGAGGCCACGCTCGGGACACACGTGCGCAAGCCTGGGCTACACGGCCATACTGGGGGCCAGTATGGCCTCGCAGTATGAATTTAACTCCCAAGTACACATTCACGTACATGTACGTGTGGCGGCTTAACCACTTTGAACGCCGCGGACGTGAGCACGCAGGCGTCGGTCGAGGAATGGGAGGGGCTCTTTCAAGGCGAATTGAGGCACACAGGTTGCTTAACCACAGGTGGTGATAATAAACAATAGCGTTGCTGCTCCGCCTGCTCCTCATGTCGTTCCCTCACGATCTCATCCACAGCCCCCAGCAAGGGGCGTCCTTGGCCTCGCAGTAGACCACCTCCACCAGCCCAGCCTTGCGGTACACGCAGGGGGGGCGGCGACGAGACTGTGGACGGGCGCTGCCGAGCGCAGCTGAAGCGGGAGAAAACAATGGCTGGACGGCTGACTCGATTTTACAGCGGTCTTGGCCGCTGGCCCGAATGGAATTCGGCGACCATCCAGGTAATGATGACAGGAGGGCTCGAGGGGGCTGGGGGGGGAGGAGGGGGAGGGAGAGGGGGATGATGGTTGTGATGATTATGCTGCTGCTGCTGCTGCTGATGATGATGATGATGATGATGATCATGATCATGATCATGATGATCATGATAACTGCTGTGGTGATGATGACGATGCTGGTGACGATGCTGATGATGATGATGCTGATGATGATGATGCTGATGATGATGACGGTGTTAACGATGACACTGACGATACTGATCATGAAGATGAGGATGTTGATGCTAACGATGATGCAAGGATTGTGCTGGTGATAGTGATGATGACCAGGATGATGACGACCAGGATGATGATGATGTTGATGATGCTGATGGTGATGATGCTGATGATGATAATGGCGATGCTGATGATGCTGGCATCGATGATTCTGATCAGGAATGTTATGATTGTGGTGGTGATGGTGATGAGGCTGGCGACGATGATGATCATGGCGGTGTTGACGCTGACAATGACGAGGCTGATCATGCAGATGATGGTGATGATGGTACTGATACTGCAATGATGGCGATGGTGGTAGTGATGATGATGCCAATGATGGCACTGATACTGCAATGATGGCAGTGATGGTGATGATGGTACTGATACTGCAGTGATGGCAATGATGGCGATGGATGATGGCCAGGATGAGGATGATGATGTTGATGATGGTGATGATGGCGATGCTGCTGATGCTGGTAACGATGATGATGATGCAGATGGTGATGATATTGGTGATGATAAGGTTGATGATACTCATACGGTGATGATGACGTATGTGATGATGATGGCGATGCTGATGATGATGCTGATTATGCTAGTGATGAGGAGGATGATGATGACGATTGTGATGATGCCGGTGATGAAGATAATGATGATGCCGATTATAATGGTAGGGATGCTGATGACGACGATGCCGATGACGATGGCGATGGTCATGGTGATGATGCTGATGACGATGCTGATGACGATGACGATGGCGATGCTGTAGATGATGATGATGATGATGATGATGATAATGATGATGATGATGATGATGATGATGATGATGATGATTATGATGATGATGATGATGATGATGGTGATGGCGATACTGATGATGCTGATGATGCTGATGATGATGCTGATGATTATGATGCTGCTGTTGATGATGATGATGATGATGAGGAGGATGATGATGATGATGCTGATGATGATGACCATGGTGGTGACGACGAGAAGGAGGATGTGGAGGGGCAGGAAAGTGACGGGACCCATTGGAGAATTACCTCGGGAGGATCTATGGACTCATCCCGCGGATCTTCCATCCCCCTCCTATTCCCAGGGACCCACCTCTGAGCTTCTCCACTCATTTGAAGATGGGGGATGGGGAGGCGGTCTGGAGAGGTCGCGCGCATCTGACAGTCCCTACGAACGTCCGCAGACTCCTCGACTGAGTTCGCACATCGCGCAGCTCGATCCGCCGCCAAACATTTCTTCTGCCGTTCCTGCAGGATGTTGTCAAAGTGGCGACGGGAGTGCACCTGTGAAAGCTTTTCGTTGTGCTCCACCTCGTGTTCGAATATCTGTCGTCCTACGCCTTCTGGCCCCTAGCCTGCACAATCATCTTCGCGCACTCGTTGCACGGAAACATCGTCACGTAGAGACGTTGCCCAGCCATCTTGTCCGTGTTCGCATTCAAGATGGCATTCGCCTGCGCAACTCAAAGCCCGCTCCCGCTGTTCATCACCCTTTGAATTGTCTGAGCGCCGAGCCTCTATTCACACCTTGAAGCCTGCCACTGCCCTCTCTGGTCGTCGTCCTCACCCTCCTTGCCACGGGCCGCAATTGATTGCTCCTCTCCTCCCGCTCGCAATTGCCCTTCGTCATTCTGTCACGACTCTCCCCCTCCTCCTCCTCCTCGCTCCTCCTCGCTCCTCCTCCTCCTCCTCCTCCTCGCTCCTCCTCGCTCCTCCTCGCTCCTCCTCGCTCCTCATCATCCTCCTCCTCCTCTTCGCTCCTCCTCGCTCCTCCTCCTCCTGCTGCTCCTTCTACTTCCTTGCTTGATTGCTTGTTGCTCGAGGGCCAGGTGCGGTCCCAGGCGACGTGAGCAGACCACGTGTGCGCGCAACGCAGTGGTACATTAAAACGCTGGTCCAATGTGCCAATCATTACGTGCTCGTGTGAGATACGTTTCGGAGCCACCCAACACCTGCAAAGCTCTCCAACAATTGCCCAACGACGCAACATATAAACATTGTGAAATCGTGGCTGCCTACCTCTTCGCAATCACGCTTAGTGATGCGCGAGAGCTAAGCACGAGTTCGCAAACCAATAATTCACGTATCCCATGCTCACACACACGCACACACGCACACACACACACACCCAAGCTGACCATCAATTGTGGACAAACATCTCACGCCGGCCAGCTCATACCCGTGATGGTTGCAGCAGTTTCACTGTGACTGTCCGTCCAAGGGCGCGTCGAACCTGTGACTCTCAATCTGCCAATTGTCGTCTCCCTCCTCCCTCTCCTTTAGCCCTACCCCGTCACCGCCCTTCTTGCGATGCACCTCCGCCTCGTGTTCCTGCTCCGACTCTTGCCTGCTCTAATTCCTCCTCCCCATTTATTTGTCCATTTCCCCTGCGTCAGGAAGCCTGTCAAGGCCACCCGCCTGGCCGGGCCGCGCGGCCCCTCATCCCTTTGTCCTCTTCCTTCCCGTCCTCCTTAACTTTTCCTCCTCCTCCCCCTCCCGTGCTGCTACCACTTCTCCTGCTCGGGTCCCTGTTCCTCTGGGGGGCCAGGTTACGCGTTTGCTTTCGAGACAAACTACCAGGCGTAATCACAGCGTCCATGCTACACATGCCGCTGAAGAAACGTACTCCCAACAACGCCAACAAACCATGGCCGACTGCGAAACGACTACGCAAGCAAAATCGCAACCGTCAAAGGCGCAGACAAAGATCGAGATCACGTGGCAATGATAAGTAGCTGGATTGGTCCCCAGCCGTGCCGTGCCTCTGCATGGCATACAAACGGATACTTCGTTTCCAGAGGATCACCAGTGCGCGATAACTTCGCCCATGGTAGGTCATCGTCGGAAATGCCACGAGGGAAACCGTTGTAGCCTGTTGAAAGTACGAAAGCTTCCCTCGCAATGCATGTATATATGCATGTGCACGCGATACATGGGACATCGCTATTGCTTTTTTTTTTGTTCTCTCTCTCTCTCTCGCGTTGATCTCTCTGCCTCTCTCTTTCTCTCTGTCTTTCCCTCCCTGTGTCTCCCTCTCTCTCTCTCTCGTTCTATCTTTTGCGTTATCTATATGCCTCGGCCTCTCAACTTATATAGGCTGTGCATACATGGTGTTTCGGACTTCTGTCTCTGTTCCAATACCTTTCCCCGCCCCTGTCTCGTACATCCTCCCTACTTCTTCCAAGTTTCTCCCTCACGCCCCCTTCTCCTTTCCTTTTACATGCACATGTAATTATATGTAGGCGCTTCGTCTCTTCATCTGTATTACGGATCTCTATGTCGATGTCCATATGTCCCTCATTCCCTCCCTCTCTATCTCCGTAAATGTATACCCTTGTTTATCGTGCTTGTCCTCGCTCTCTCTCACTCGATGTGGTTCCTCTCTCTCTCTGTGTATGTATCACTCGCTCCCTTTCTCTCTCTATCTCTCTTTCTCTCTCTCTCTCTCGTTCTCACTCTCTCTTTTTCCTATCTCTCTCTCTCTCTCCCTCTCGGTTATATGTATAGAGGTCTCCGTACATTGCTTCAGTTTGGCTTCTCCTTCTCTCTCTCAGTCTCGCTATCTCAACATTAATGTGCCTGCGCGTATTCCCAGCGCACTCGCAGATCGGATCGAGAAGGGCATCCGCTTCGGTGCACACTCTCTGTGCGAACATGGAACGTCTGCTATCTCGTCGCCATCATGAACAATATGACGTGGTTCCCTCAATGGGCGGACCGACCTGCAGACCCATCTCCTCCTCATCCTCGACATGCGTTGGTATACGGCTCATCCAGCATAGCGAGCGCCAGCTATACAGGGCGAAGGGCCAATCCTCCGCTTCTTCCTCCTCCTTTCCTTCCGACTGTCAGGCATCCCCGACCCCGAAGTCGAGTGCAAGGAAGCTGCAGCCATGATGCTGGCGAGGAGCGAAGCAATGTTTCCCCATAAAGTTCGTACGCACATAGAAGGTACCACTCGTAACATACGTTTGTCCATGTGGCAAAGCAAATTGAATGCCGATAGCTCCCTGACCGAACGATCAGATTACTTCATAACCTGGGCCATGTACACAAGCCTCTTTTCATTCCCAGCGTGCTCTCACTGATGGGGAACGCCAGCAGCCTATAGAGAGGATGATGTTGCAGCGGCTAACGATACACGCACCGACCTCGCTCGCGAGCAGAACCCATTCTTCGCAATTCTGTCCGAATGAAATCGGGAGACATACCGACCTAATACGAACATCCAGCGTTAGGTGCAACCGAGCTGGCGCGGTCGCCAATGGGGCCACTTACGGGAACCTATCCTGGCACGATGCCGAACGTTTAAGAACCACATGCCCCTGATGGCCCTGGACTGGGCGTCGCACTGCAAATAATGCAACTGTGAAGCTGTGTTACCTCCGTGCTCGCTCATACACACCCGTCTTCCTATCATGTACGTACAATATGACATCATCTAGGTTATTCCTGAAGGTGCTGCTGGGCAAGACCTGCTTGTTTGGATCTTTGCTGCGCTGTGCCGACAGGAATGCCAACGCCATGAAATAATCATCCCAAGACCTTGGATAAGACAGACGGTACAGATACGCGCAGGCATGATATCGAAACGAGAACTGGAAATGACTGATATAATGTGACAGGCAATGCAACAACATGTAAGTCAAATGCTGCGGACAATGCGACTAAACACGATAAGTATATCAATCAGGTGCAACACTTGGCTGAGAATAGCATCTTCAACGAAGATAGTAGCAGTTGGGACAATTGTATCACGCGAGATGTCCAAGTTCAAGCGTCCACCACATCAAGGCGAAACGGCAACTGCACTTCCAAGGAGGCAACTCGTGTTGGGAAGGCGAGGCGCCACAGGGAACGCCGACATGACAAACGATATCGACAACAGACATGACAGGAGGAGGAGAGAGAGAGAGAGAAAGGGATAAAGAGAGATAGAAACAAAGGAGAGATATGGGGATTTACATATGTATATACAAGTACAGAGGGATAAAGAGAAATATAGATAGAGAGAGAAACAACAAATACATATGGATATATATATATATATAGAGAGAGAGAGAGAGAGAGAGAGAGAGAGAGCGAGAAAGAGAGAGAGAGAGAGGGAGAGAGGACGGGGGGAATTGAGCATTGTCAACGACATACCTTACGCTTTTTATCACAATCCCCCTGAGCCACATTCACTAGTGCTTCAAATGTGGCCTCCGCCGAGCACATTTGAACAAGGGGGATTGCCAGAAAAGGTAGCTCCAAAGAAAATATCAGCTTATCCGCCGGCCTCCTTGCGGGGCCATCAGGCTGCGAAGATTACGCTTGCAGCTCCCTGTGCCAGTTGCAGCTCCCAGTCTCCACTGTTACAGTCCTGCTTTCTGCTTCCTTACTGTTAATTGTTGCTGAACGCGCGAGGGGGGGAGCCGAAAAACGTCCTGGTTAGCGCCCTCGAATCGCATTGTCTGAATTCCCGGGGAGTCGTGGGACACGTAAAAATACATGATGTTCGCGCCCCCGAAACCATAATCCTCAGTAAATTATTCTATAGTCGCGTTAATCCTTAATAAATTACACAATGCCCGCGTCCCCGAAATCATCGTCCCCTGGTGAATTACGCAAAATTCGCGTCCCCGAAGCTGTACACCTTCCTATATTATTCAATTTTCGCGTCCCCACTGTTCGCGCCCCCGCAGCCATAAACCCTTGTAAATCACAGGATGCTCGCGCCCCCAAAGCCATAAACCTACAATATTCGCTTCCCTAGGGCCATAAACCAGTGTAACTTACACAACACTTGCGTCCCCAAGGCCACAAACCCTTGCAAATTACATCATGTTCGCGTCCCCAAGGCCATGAACCTAAGTAAATTATGCAATATTTGCGCCCCCGGGGCCGCAAACAATCGTACATTACGCAATCGTTGTGTCCCCGAGGCCACACATCCTTATAAATTACACAATGCTCGCGTCCCCGAAAACATAAACAATCACAAATTACCTAATATTCGCGCCACCGAAACCATGAACCTTTGTAAATTAATATTGGCCCTGAAGTCCCGACATTGTTTCACGTCAGCGTCAAGACATCCCAACACAGCTCTGGCAAGTCCCATTCTAAGAGAGGGGGGCCGGCGGCATGGGGGCGAAGTCCTAACGGATAAACCAACCTACATGTAGTAAACTGCCAACGTATGTATTTAAAACATCGACCCTCCCCGAAAACCCTCTGGCCTGGGGTGGGTCAAGTATAACATGGGACGGCCGGTCGATTCAGGCGCATTCCCCGAGCGCGAGGCGGTTAGCGACGGGGTGGGCGACTAATAAGAAAACTCTGCTACCAGAGAGTCCCGACGCATTCTGGGCAACGAAACAAGGGTCCGACAAAACAGCGGGTGGGGACGGGCGCCAACGACTCCCTGGTATCGCTTCCACGGCAGGAGCGGGATGAATTGAAAAAATGCTACCCCCCAGTCGCCCCGAAAACAACTGCGAGGTCCCGCCGTAGCGGACGACGGCGACCACCGCGAATGATGACGCCGCTGTGCATTCTGGGCGTCAGCATGGGGTCATGCATGGTGGAAAGGCACACGGGTGACGCGTGTCACCCCGAAAAGCGTAAGTTAGGCCAGTCGCTTCACTTAAACTCTGACCGCCAGCACGGAGGCATACAGCACGAACAAGCACAGGGGCGACACATGTCACACCGAACCTTGTGTGAGAGGACAGAACCGTTTCACTTCTAAGCTGAGCGTGGACAAGCACAGGGGTGACATGTGTCACCCCGAACAGTGCGTGAGAGAAACCAATCGTTTTACATAGAATCTGAACGCCACGCTGGCGTCATCCAGTGTGAAAACAAAGGTGTCACGCGTCACTCCGAGAACTGAAGAAACCACGGATGTGCTTACATGCTTACATTGTATGCTGGGAGTCCACACGGGGTGATACAGTGTGAGCAGGCAAAGGGTGACACGTGCCACCCCGAAAACTAATCCCTTGTGTTCTGGACGTCGTAATGGGGTCATACTATTTAAAACAAAACACACACGTGACCCGTGCCATCCCGAACATGGTGATACAAAACACATGATTTTCATTCGTATCCTGGGCGCCAACATGCGGTGACACCGTGTAACAAAAAGGTGACACGTGTCACCCCGAAGGCTGACTGGTAACAACAAGCTCTTCTCGCTTGCGCCGGCATGACGTTACACAACGTGAGAAACAGGTGGGGTTGCGTGCCATCTTGAACACTGCGTGAGCAAAGCCAACGGTTTCAATTGAATGCTGGGCGTCGCCATGGAAGCAAACAGCGTGAAACGGCACGATAGTGACACGTGTCATGGGTGGGAGAACAAACAGATCTGCCCACTTGCAGTCTTGACGCCGACATGGCGATATACAGCGTGAGCAAGCAGAGGAGTGGCACCTGCCACCTCGAACACTGTGTGAGCAACGCTAATGGTTTCACTTGAATGCTGGGCGTCGACAAGGGGTCACACAGCGCGAAAAGACACAAGAGTGACACGTGTAACCCCGAACGCCGGGTGATACAAGACCAGCTATGCTCACTTGCACTCTGGACGCCGACATGGCGATGTATATATATAGCGCGAGCAAGCAGAGGGGTGGCACGTGCCACCTCGAACACTGCGTGAGCAGAACCAATGGTTTCACTTGAATGCTGGGCGTCGCCATGGCGCCAGACAGCGCGAAACGGCACAAGAGTGACACGTGCCATCCCGAGTACTGGGTGATATGAAACAAGCTATGTTCACTTGCACTCTGGACGCCGACATGGCGATATACAGCGTGAGCAAGCAGAGGGGTGGCACGTGCCACCTCGAACACTGCGTGAGGAACGCCACTTGTTGCACTTGTGTTCTGGGCGTCAACATGGGGCCATACATCGTGAACAAGCACATGGGCGGCACGTGACACCCTGAATACTGAATGATAAAAAGAAGCTCAGCCCACTTGCAGTCTAGACGTCGGCATGGGGTCATACAACGCGAATAAGCACAAGGGTAACGCGTGCCGCCTCGAAGAGCGCGTGAGACAGACCAATTGTGTCGCTGTCATCCTTGGCGCCAACATGGAACCGTACAGCGCGAAGAACACACGAAAACACAAGGCTGACACGTGCCACCCCGGAAACTGCGATAGACAAACTAAGTATTTCAATTGTAGTTTGGGCGTCGGCGCGGAGTCATATAGCGTGAATTAGCACAGGCTGTATGAGCATAACCCCCTGTTGCCTTTGTATCCTGATCGTCAAACACTGGAAAAAACACCAGGGTGACACGTATCACTCCGAAATGGGAATGATAACAACCAGGTGTCCCATTTGCACTCTGGACGTTAACATGGGGTTCTACTGCATGAGACATCGCTGGGATGACACGTGACACCCCGAAATTTGTGTGAGAATAGCAAGTTATTTGGTGTGCGTTCTGAATCTTGGTGCGCGGTTGTCAAGTGCGAAAAAAACAAAGAAGTATCACGTGCCACCCTGAAACGTATCTCGGAACAAACAATTGTTTTCCTTGCACCCTGGGCGTCCACATGGGGCCATAAAACGTGACCAAACCCCAGGGTGACACGCGTCACCTCGAAAATTGTGTCTGAACAACAAATTGATTCGCTTGTGTTCCGGGTGTCAGCACGGGGTCGAGTGGTGTGAAACAGCATCAGGAGTGACGCGTGCCACCCCGAAAATTGTGTGAGAGGCACCACTTGTGTCCCTTGCCTTGTAAGCGTGAACGTGGGGCCAAACATGGTAGGAAAGCACCGTGAGACGTTGCACCCAGAAAACAGTGTGAGAACAACAACTTGATTTGCTTGCGTTCTGAGCGTCTACATGCGGCCATGCATTATCCGCCACCGCGCTTGCAGCGGTAGGTGTGTGTCGGGCCCGCTCGCTCCTTGCGAAACAATGGTTGGAGCCACCCGACGCATGGAGCCCAAGATGCGTTCATTTATACGACGAAGTCCCTGCGTTTTTTGCCTTCCAAACTGGAAAATGTGCCCACATACAAAATTTGGGGAAGGACGCTCGGTGGACCCCCACCCCTTGGCGCCCGCCTCCCCCCCCCCCCTTGGGCGCCCGCCCGAGCGCGGTGGCGGAATCGCCCGCCCGCCCCGCCCGGGGCGCCCCCCCTGTGCGCACCACAACGCCTCAGCACGACATATTGCCTGCGTGCCCGAAGCGGTTTGCGGGCGTTTCTGCCTGCGACCACCGTAATGTCTGGAGACGTGGGCGATCACGAATGATCACGACCACGTGGGCCAAGTCGCCATGGATTCCGCAAGCCTGAGGGGCTGGCAGGCGTGGCAGCGTGGGTATATTGCTTACATTGGGCGCGGCAGACGATTCCCCGAAATTGGTTGTGTGTTGGGGGCACGGTCAGAAGATTCACCAAAGTGAGCCACTGTATTCTCCGGCGATGTCCTCCGATGGGGGTGGGGGTGGTCCAAACCATAATCAATGCATTTCCCCGCGGGGCGCGCGGCCCAAACGGCCGCGGTGTCTGATGGACTTACACCGGGTATCTCCTGGCAAGCGCCGGGGGGTTGGGGGACGTATGCCCACTCATCGCCCTTTATGACATCTAGACGTTCTCGCGTGCCGAATTCTGCAGAGCTGTACTGGCTACCTACCCGCGCCCTGGAACGGCACACTGTTTTCATTTCGACGGTGGGGTAACCCTCGATGTCTGCCCTCGTCCCTACACGTACTCTCGAGCAGGACACCCTCGCCTAGGCCCGGTACAATGCCCCTTGTCTCTTCGCTGGCGAATAAGGGTCTACTCCAAGGGGAACTCCAGTTACAGGAACACCGTCCAGCGACTTTGCTTCGCATGGTTCGCACACAACGTCAGTATCATCCACACCTTCTGCGTCAGTTGATGATGAGCTGCATGGTCAACAAAAACGTCATAATACAAAGGCGATGCACTCGATCAGCATTGGAGGATGACTTATACACAGTGGCGCATGCTAACACAATGATGCACATCCCACATCACACGAGCTTCTCTGGGTGACCAATCGCCCCGAATGATCTCACTAAGTTCCTCCCCGAAGGCACTGCAATCTCTGGGGGAGGGCGTCTCCCATCGCTTTGCCCACAGACTGGCCTTCCCTATCCCTCCCTGACAGGGAGGAGATGGACTAGGCAGGAGGCGCAGAAGGGGCAGAGAGGGCGGTGAGGAGGGGGAGGGAGGGACTGGGTAGGAAGGAAAGGCAGAAGGAGGGAGGGGGGAAAAAGAGAGAGGAAGGAAGATAACTGAGGTTAGGGAATGAATGCGGCGAGGTGGGGAAGAAGAGGGGAGGTGGGGAAGGAGAGGGGAGCGGTGGGAAGGAGGGCGGTAGGGGATGCAATAGGGAGGACAGGAGGGGCGAGCCATGCAATATGCACAGAGGGGATGAAGGAGGGAAGCGGGTCGGGGTGGGGTAGATGGGGGAGTGGCGGGTGGGGGCAAGGGGGCAGGGGAGAGTGGGGGACTAGCGAGGGGCGATAGGGAGGGGGCAAGTGGCGGGGGGGGGATGCGGAATAGGGGGATGGGGCGACGTGGGGTGGAGTGAAAAGAACTTTCGCGAAGACTCGGAGGGATGCGAGGGTTAAAGACACGCTCTGGCATGCCTCCCTTGCATCGCATGCTCAGTGCTGTATGTATCAATCAGATTTGTTTAAGCCTGGAAGGCGGAGTGAGAAGCTGGACGCCCGCCCTGGCCTACGATCCTCATCCTCCGTCTCCTCCCGAGTGGATGAGGGGAGAGGAGGAGGAAGTAGAGGAGGCGGAGGATGAGGAGCACGTAGGAGGGGGGCAGACCCTCCGCTAAGAGGCCGCGCAACGGCGCTTTACGAAGCCCGCTGGGACGGCAGGCAGCTGGCGGCAGCACGGCCGATCGGCTGCGACGCAGAAGGAGCCGATACGACGAGGAGGAGGAGGAAGAGGAGGAAGAGAGAGGAGGAGGAGGAGGAGGAGGAGGAGGAGGAGGAGGAGGAGGAGGAGGAGGAGGAGGAGGAGGAGGAGGAGGAGGGAGGAGGAGGAGGAGGAGGAGGAGGAGGAGGAGGGGAGGAGGAGGGGAGGAGGACGACCAGGGCCAGGAGCAGCAGCAGGAGGGACGGAGGAGGCTACAGCAAGCGCAAGAGGGGAGCAGGAGCAGCAGAAGGAGCAGGACCAGCCGCAGCAGCAATAGCATCGGCAATAGCAGGAAGAACACCCTTCGCCCCACCCGTCTAGCCCGTCCGTGCGCGTGCGCCGCGGCCTCGGGACTGCTCCGCCAGGAATGCCCCGCCGCCAGCCGCGCGCCGCTGCCGCCGCGCCAGCCAGGCGGCCGCGAGGGCGCCTCGACGGCGACGACTGCGACGACGGCGCATCCGCATCAGCATCCGCATCCGCGATCGCCGTCGTCGTCGACGCCGCCGTCGTCGTCGTCGCCGCCGTCGTCGTCGTCGTCGTCGTCGTCGTCGTCGTCGTCGTCGTCGTCGTCGTCGTCGTTGTCGTCCTCGTCTTCCTTCTTGCCCCCTCCTCCCTCCTCCTTCTCCTCCTGGTGCATGCCCGCACGTGGCCCTTCACCTACAACTTGCACCCAGGCCCAGGCCCAGGGCGCTGGGGCGTTGACGTGATCGTCGGCGGCATGGAGGGCGTGCGGCGCATGCTCACAAAAGGCATTTACTAGATTGTGTATTTTGCGTGGGGGGAGCGAGGGATGGAGGAGGAGGAGGAGGAGGAGGAGCAGGAGGAGGAGGAGGAGGATGGAAAAGAGTCGCGGCAGAAGGGGAATGATGATGATGAGGAGGAGGAGCAGAAGAAAGAGGACGAGGGTCTCGCAGCAGAAACCTCTCCGCCCGCCATCGTGCGAGGGGTCGTCGAACGGGTCCCTTCGTCGGAGCCCCTGAGGCCCCCTCCTGCTGCTGCGACTGCTCCTCCTCCAGGCGGGCTCGGCGTGGCACCTCCCACGGCAGTGCCGGCGACCCCGGCGGAGAACAGGGCAACGTACTCGCGCGCCCGAGAGGCCATGGCTCGGCCAGCAGCGTAGGGCAAGGAGGGAGGCGGGGGGAATCCTGAGGGCCAGAACGGCAGCCACGCGCAAAGGATGTGGGAGGGAAGGTATGGGGGAGGAGGAGAGGATGGATGGGGGAGGCGGAGGAGGAAGGGGAGGAGGAACGAGGAGGGAGGCGTCGGAGGGAAGGAGGGTGGAGAAGAAGGATCGGAGCGAGGAGGTAGGAGAAGCGAAGGAGGTAGAAGGGGGAGGGAAGATGCCGCTGAGAAAGGATGATCGAGGGGTATGGAGGGGTATGGAAGAGGGGGAGGAGGGGTAGGAGGAAGACATGGAGGGGGGAGGAGAGCGACAAGGGAGGAGAGAGGAGAAACATTCAGTCCAAACAGCGGCGCTCCCAAGCATCCTCCTCATGCGACTTCTCAGACCTGCACTCTCACCAAAGGGCAGCGAGTGGGATGAGTCCAGGGGGAAGCATGAGGGGCAGGGGGGGACAAGAAGGAACGAGGGACACTACTGCCACGAATGACTGGGACGAAGCATAATGAGCAAGAACTGCCCCAAGAGAACACCTCAAACGCAAGAGCCATCGTGAGAGAACACCTCGAAGCGATATCATCGGCACGATGCTGGTGTTGGGCGGAATCCAACCCCTTCTGCTCCGACCTCTCTGATCCATTGCCGCGCTGCCCCTGCGCCTCCCCTGTTCCTCCTCCTCCTCATCCTTTTCCCTATTGGCCTCCTTCTCATATTACAGTGTCTTCATCCGCCCTCCTCCTTCTCCTCCTCTTTCTCCTCTTCCCCCTCCTCCTCCTCTTCCTCCCCGTCCCCCCCCTCTTCCTTCTCCTGCCGCTTCGTCCGCCCCCGCCTCTGCAACTCCACCTTATCCCTCCGTCTTCCCCCTTAGCGAACGTGGCGGCGACACGGCCTCCTCTTCTTCCTCCTCCTCTTCCTCCTCCTCCTCCTCCTCCTCCTCCTCCTCCCTCCCAGCCTGCCCTGGTCGCCCCTGTTGCCGTGCAATGTCCAAGGAGTTTACAGCTCGTTCGGCGCACTAGTGTAGGGACCCATGCGCCTCATGCACCTCCTCCTCCTGCTCCTGCTCCTCCTCCTGCTCCTCCGCCTTCTCGTTTTCTCTAATCCCTTTGTCCATTTCTGTCTCCTCCCCCTACCCTCCTCTTCTTCCTCCTCCTCCCGACCAGCATCAAAAGCCGTTGCTGGACATGCATACCAGGAGAGGGTACAGCGCTGACCACCACGATTGGGATGGTGTGCTTGATTTTGTCTGACATCTCCCTTGACATGCTACGCGCTCTGTCTCCTGTGCCTTCCCCCGACGCTCCTCCTGTGACTTGCCAGCGCCCCTGCTGCCTATCATCCTCCGCGCCACGTCACCTCAAGGGCACTCGTGGATGGAACAACTATCCATATCAACGGTTTCGCGGGTGGGGAGACTGGGCCGACACCAACGGGATACGGAACATTATTTCGCGGATGTCCGGCGCGGAACGTATTCATGCGACCGCGTATCCGCAGGATCGCGCCCCAGATCGCAAACCGCGAGGGCGTGGATATGGGTTCGTTCATCGCTCGTGAAGCGTACTCTTGATTTCCGCTGGCGATCGACAGCCTGGCGACCAGTCGTCCGACATGTGCGTCACCGCTGCTGCTGCTGCTGCTTCTTCTCGCGGAGAGCCTTCAGGAAAGCAACCGTTGCACTGCCTTTCTTCCTCCTGCCAGTGATGCCAACCATCGGGGGTTCGGAAACGGGCGGAGAAGCCGCCATGTCGGAGTGGGACGGCCCGGCCTGGGCCAAGGCATGACCCTCTTCGAGTGCCGCGGGCACCTCCTCGGGCGCCACAGGCACTTCCCTGGGCATGTCGGGGTCCGACTCGCCGTCGCTGCAACCTGCAGGGGTGGCTTCCGCAGCCCGTCCGCTGACCGAGAGCCGGCGGCGCTTGCTGCTGCTCTGGCCACTGCCGCTGGCCCGATGCCCGAGGCAGCCGGGCTCCTCTGCTGGCGCCCCCAGCAGCCACAGCAGACGAGCTTTGCCGATCTTCATCAGCGGCTGCCCGTCTTGGCTGTGCAGATGGCGCTTCACCGTCTTGCAGAAGGGGTCGCTGCTCTGCCGCAGATCCCCCAGAAGCGCTGTCCGAGACTCTGGAACCAGCTTGTCCAGCGCGGCCCGCGCTGCTGCCAGCTCGCCAGAACTCTCGGCCCAACAGTGCAGGTCGCCTCCGAGGGCAGCTGGCAGCAGCCTCGCCACCGTTGCCTGACCAGCGGCCTGCAGCTCCCGGGCCGCCGCCCCGTCGAGCGCCTGCAGCCCATCGGAGAAGGCGCCGAGCGCGATGCTGCGCCTGAGGGCCAGGAGGGCAGCCCGCGGGCATGCCTGGACAACGGCCGCGACAGACTTCTCAGCCGGGTCGTCCCTCCCTTCCTCGCCACGCGGCCGCTTGCGCCGCGAAGCACTCATGGCGGCGCGCTGGCCTGTGGGCGATGCCCCCCCGCAACCTGGCCCAGCGGGCTTGAGCCCAAATGTGACCAGCGCACGAAGCAACCAAGGTTCTGATCGAGCGCGATCACGCACACGAGCGGAGGTGCTATAACTAGAGCTGCGCGCGCTTCGCGTGCGCTTAAGTTCTGGCAACCACCCGCTATTAACAAGCTCACAACTGCACTCATGGACGCACATACCGAAACATGCAGTGATCATAACTTGGGGAAATATCGCGAAGGCGGACCGAGCATTACCGTCAGAGGTACACCCAAACATCTCCAATGCGCCGCAGTGCAACACAGTGCAACGCCACGAAATAAATCCATTGAACGGTTTGCAGTGTCAGCGACATGTACGATACTTCTCATGTTAAACGAATGTCGCGACAACCCAACGCAACGCAAGACGCGCAAAACAATTAAACGAACACTTGACAAAGCAACTGCACGGAAATGCAATGCAGTGATAACCAGACAAAACAGAACAATGTAAAGGAACACGTTGCGAAGCATTAGTAGCCAGTACATATGCAATGCAAAATAATGCGTGGCGATCGAATGCACAAGATCCGACAAACCCGACATTCAGGGAATGGCTTGGGGGCGGGCAAATCCGACGAAAAAGCCCTGGGAACCTGGGCTGGAAGTTGCAAGTACCACCAGGTCCCCTGCACAGAAGAAGGGTTAGAGAGGGAAGGGAAGAACGCCGAGGGAATCATTTTTTCCAGCGGCGAAGACACCACGATTCAAAAGCATGGCGGGTCACCGAGACAAGACTGCGCCACCACGTGCGATTGAGGAGCGTCCGGGTAGCTAGCGCGGGATACCACGCAAGGAAGAGGAAGCAGGAGGAGGACGAGGGAGGAGGAAAGGAGGGGGCAAGGGCGCTGTGCGACTTTCCCCGGCGGCCCAAGCGGCCGCTTATACGATAACGTGCAAAACGCACAGCAGCACACCAGAGGGAGGAGCGGGAGGAGAGAGAGGGAGGGGGACAGGAGAGGAGAGGAGAAGACGCGGGGTGAGCCACACCCGTTCGGAGACTCCGGGAGATGCGCGGCCTGCGGTGGAGGGCGCCCGCCCGAGTGACAAGAAAGGGACTCGGTCCGCGAGAACCCCCCCACCGCGGGCCCCAAAGAGAAGCAAAGGGCAGAGCAACACAAAGGGGAGCGAACGGGGCAGGCTAGCGACTACAGCACGGTGCGGAGACAGCCGGGCAGGAAAACAGTAGAAAAATCGTGTCGCTGCATGGCCGCCTCGTGCCACGCGCGGACCAGCCCTCGGCGGCAGGGGGGCAAGCCCAGCGCTCCGGCTGAGGTTGGCCGCCGCCGGCCGAAGAGAGCAGCACGGCCTGATGCAGACGGTGGGCCCCACCCCACAAATTACCACCACACGTGCAAAACATCAGGAGGAGGCGAGTGAGAACAAGAGGGGCATGGGGGCCACGCGCGCGGCGCTCCCGCAGGCGTCCTCACTAGATGCCGTCCCGGTCGTGCTGCACGCGGCCGCTCACGAAATGTCAATGCAGATTTGCTGAACGTCGGGCTAGGATAGGAGTCGGTGGGCTGGTCGGCGAGGGAGTCGGCGAGCTGGTCGACGCTGGAGTCGGTGTGTTGGTCGATGCGGGAGCCGCCCAGCTGGTCGGCGCTGGAGTCGGTGAGCTGTTCGGTGAGGGAGTCGGCGAGCTGGTCGGTGCGTTCACGCTGGCACCGGTGCTGGCGTCGGTGCTGGTGTAACTTGGTGTCAACGTTGGTGCTGGCGTCGGTGATGACAACGGTGCTGATGTAGTCGCAAACGTTTGTGCCAGCGCTGGCCCCAGCGTGGCGAGGGAGAAGCGACAATACGGGCCGCAGCAGGGATGAGGGAAGAATCAAGCAAGGGGACGGCGGAAGGATAAACAAAGGGAGGGGAAGAAGGAGGGCGGGATGGACCGTCTTGGAACCCTTTTGGGGGTATCTTGGGCCGTCTTGGGGCGGTCTTGGGGCCTCTTGGGGCGGACGTCTTGGAGCGTCGGAAGCCCGAAACGTGGAGAATCCCACAAACATTGGTAAACCTTGGGAAAATCATTGGATATTGCCTCTTGGGGCCCTTTGGGGAGCGCTCGTCGAGGCCTTTGGGGCCGTCTTGACGCTATCTGGGGCTGTCCGGAAGCCACGCTGGACTTGAAGCCTTCTGGTGTCTCTTTGACGCCACATAGGGCCATCTTAGCAGCCTCTTGGCGTCCTCTGAGGCCGCCGAGGTCGCCCCCCGAAGCTCTGAGTCCCTCGGACCCACTGGGGCAAAAGTTTGACGCTGGGCGGGGGGGAGTTTCGAAAAAGTGTGCTGCCCATGGGCCCGGGGACCCCGACGCCAGTTACATTATAGATTTGCCACCGAGCCCCCTGGCGCGTTGATGCGTGGTCAATGCCAAATGCTATCCGGCGAAGCTTCTGTACTTCAGTCTTTACGGCTCCCACCCTGTCGGCACTCCCAGCTGCATGCACCGCCCTCCCCTCCCGAGGCCTGGAAAGTCTGCTACCTCCCTGGGACTCCAAGATCTAAAAAGCTACACAATGGCGCCAGGATGACGCAACATT